GCTGGGAGCGAGAAAGAGGGCAGAAGACTGGCAGGGTCAGGGGAAGGGACGGTCTCGCTGAGGCTGGGATGGCTGGTTTCCTGTGGGTCGGCTGGAGGCGTCACCCACCTGGAGCCGCAACCAGTCGGGTTGTTGCCGCCACCTTGTGGCCCAGCGGGGGATGCCCGAGCCGCTGCTCAGGCGCTAGGACATAGCGCCACCTGGTGGCTGCGAGCGGTCTCTGCGCCTGTGGAGATCTGCCCACTCCGCCTCTCACTACCACGGAGGGCACAGATGCTGGGAGTTGGGGGTGGCAGGACCACTGGCACAGAACGATGGGTCCCAGTCAGATTGCCTGGGGATAGAACCCCAGCTCCAACTCCTGTCGCTGTGCAGCTCTGTGCCTCAGTCTCCTCACCCGTAAAGTGGGTCCAGGAAGTCATGGATAGGGCTGCTGGGAGAGGCATGGAGGGCTCAGCATAGCACCCAGCACAGCATGTGCACGTGATTCAGGCTGGCAAATCAGGCAACATGGCAGGGCCTACTGGACCTTATGGTTGGGAAGGACTCATTTCTGACCTCTGACCTCTGACCCTTGTCTCAGGCTTCAAGTCCTCTCCCCAAGCCTCATTTAAGGAGGCCGGCCCAGGGGTGGGGGAGGGGACAGGAGTACCTGTTCCCAAGTGGCCCCAGCCTGGCCCAGACCCTGGCCACCCTCTGCTGCCATCTCACAGCTGAAACCCTTGTGCCACGTGTTCTTCCGGCAAGGTGAAGAGTTTGGGAACAGCACTGGCTTTGCTGCTGGGCCAGGATTGAAGGGGGTGGGCCAGAGCTCAGGGCTCTCCTACACCCTCCTCCAGCCTGGACCAGTGGACCTCAGAGCCAGCTCCCTGCAGCCAGAGCAGCTGGCAACACTGTCCTCTCCCTGCGCCCAGGACACAGCTTTCCAGGTGGCTGTTTATTTCTCACCTAGGGGTCATTGTACCCATCAGCACAGGTCCCCAAAGATGGAGCAGCATTATTTGAGCCCTGGCCTGCCCCAGACCACCCTGCCCCCAGCTCCTGGAGACCACCTTGGCCCGTTCCTGGCTCTGGGCCCCACTGCACTGTGCGGGTGGGAGGCGCCAGGAGGAAACTCCCTTGATTGGCCATGGGCATCCCCCAGAGAGTAAAGGACCAAGATGAGGGGGAGGAGTGAGGCCACCCAAAGGCCTCAGGGCCACGGGCTGTCCTGGGCCCCCCATTCCCTCATCAAGAGGGCTCACCCCTAAGGATGAAGTGGCAAATAGGCACTGCCTGGGAGGGGGAAGGGAGAGGGCTAGAGGGCTGTCCCTTCATCCACCACCTGCCTCTGTGCTGGGCTGCTTACAGTGGGCCCTGGCCACATGGGAACAGTGGGGAGAGGGAGGATTTGGTTGTGTCTGAGGCCAGAGGTGTCTGAATCTCATGCCTGACCTCTGGCTGGACATCACGTTCCATCTCTCCAGGGGGCTCCAGGGCTTCTGGGGCTCACAGGCTTGGAGGGAACTAGGCTGTGGGGTCATCATGTTCTCTTGGCTGCTCAGAAAGCAGGGCTCACATCTGGCGAGGTCTCAGCCACTCCTAGGGCAAAAGCCCGGCTGGGACTTTGCTGGGGGCTACCCCAGAGAGGCCTCCATTTCAGAGACCAAGCCGGAAGAAGGGCATAGGAGTTGGGCAGTTATTCTCCCAACTCCATGGCCCCGCACACACAGAGACACATATGCAAATTCACACACATGTACACACACACATAGGCACTCCCCAGACACACACAGAACCTACCACATCACATACAGGCACATATGCAACGTATGCATAGACTCACACACTCACACCCACCACTCCCACAGGCTCAAACACCAACACAGACACATGGACACACATATGCACACACTTTCCTCTGTTGGCAGTTCAGGCCACAGTCTGCTCCTCCTAGGCCCTAGGGCTATATGAGGCTTGGGGCTGGAGTGGATTTAGGGTTGGGTCTTGGGGCCAGGCCTACTGCCTATAGTTGGAGGTCATGCTGGGGGCTGTTGACTGATGACTGTGGTTATTTCCTAGAAGGCTCTTCCAGAGGGTGATCTGTATGACATTTGGGGTGGATTAGGAGTGGAGGTGGGGACAGGAGTGAGGGTACCCCTCCACTTGGCTCCCCCACCCCCAGCCTCAAACCACTCATAGACAGCCAGGCCTGCAGACTGTTTTATATAAGAAATACATTTTTATACAATGACTCAGGACACTTATCTAGTTGAAGCAGAAGTATTATCAGGCCTTTCTTATTGTTTCTACCAGTAAGTGATGCTGACTTCCTCCAACACGCTCCAGTGTTCACACCCCCTGAGCCAGGCAGAGGAGGACCTAGGCCTGCCTCCCTCCAGCCCTTGTTCATCAGATTCTAACCATGACAGCAAGAGGAACCCTGGACCTCTTTCCTCCCGTAAGGTGCACAGCACAACACTGGGCCAGGGTGGAAGCTCAGTGAAAATTCTTTAGGCAAGGGGCAAGCCTCAAGGCCTTGCTATTCTTGCCAGCACTGACCTTGTCTCCTGCCAATCGCCACCCAGAAGGGAAGCCCTATTTGATGGGTATCTTGTGTCCACAGTGGGAGATCTTCCAACTCAGGCACTTGTCTCTGAAGAGGTGGCACAAATAAAGGTGTCTTTTCCTACCTCCCCCTAATACACATATACACTCTCATCCTCACACACTTACACACACTCATGTTCACTGCACATACTCACACATGCTCACACACATTATGTTTATGCTTACACACTCATATGTTCACATATGCACTCATACAAGGTCACACACTCAAGTTTACACATGCTCTCACACACATGCTTACACATTCATGTTCATACATGCACACTCACACATGCTCACACACACACATGCTCATGCATGCACACACACTCATTCACATTGCACACTCATACATGCTCACACTCTCATGTTCACACATGCACACACACATACACACATACTCTCACAAACATGCTCACACACGCAGTCATGTGTTCACACACGCTCTCTCTCACTCTCACACACACTCACACATACATTGTGGGGATGGTTCCCCAGGGCAATCCTGATGTCTCCAAGCAGCAGCAGCCATGGTTGTGGTGGTGGCGGTGGGTAGAGCTGCCCTGAAGGCTGCCCCATCTGGACTCCCAGGTGTCCCCTTTGCTGAGCAGAGGACACTGTGACACTCTGCCTCAGGCTGCACCAAAGGTTTATGACCAGAGACACTTCTTCATTGTGGACCTAGTCTCACCCTGTGAGCACCAGAGCCCAGGGCAGCTGCTTCTGGGTCATGATCTGTCTGCCCCTCCTACCCCTCTCACCAACCCTGGCCTGGATGATGCGGGGGTCAGCCTCTCTGGCCCTCCTACCCTCCGTCTGTGAGTACCTTTCCCCTCCCCCTCTGGGCTCCTTCTGCCAGATGGTCTAGGCCACGGTCCAGGGAACCCAAGGGGAGGCATCACACCCACTCAGTTCCTGGCCGCATGTGGCCCTAAGCAGGCAGGAGGCCCCCTTGGCTCCTTGTTCCCTCTTTAAAGGTGTTCAGAGCCTGGAGTGGAGGTAGGAAGGGAGATGGAGCAGCTTGCTGGTGTGAGCCTGAACAGAATCCAGCGGCGCATCCACTCAGGAAACAGTAGCACCTCCCCTAACCTGTGGGAGCAGACAAACCCCTGGACAGTCCCACAGACAGATTCAGAGGATATGCAGCAGGCTTCTGGCAGAGAGAGACAGAGACACAGAAGCAGGCAGACAGACGGAAAGACTCCCAGAAATAGGCAGCAGTTCCCCTTTCCCACAAGCAGTCACGCCCACTCTCAAAGCTCCACCAGACACTTTGTCTCAGATCTTTCAACAATCACCCCAGCTTTTGAGAGGTTCAGAATCATTTCTGTGGGTGAAAATGTGTGCTTCTGGAGGAAGAGCTTCCTTCACAGCTTCTGCTGGGAGCTCTCAGGTAGCTTCATCAGGTAAATGGAGCCAGGGATTAAGGTCAGGGGGTCTGCAGATGACAATTTTGGGTCAAAGCCCTGGTTAGTCCAGAGGTTCATAAAGCCAGGGCTGGCATCACTCCCTGCCTGGAAAGTCCATGCCCACTGCGACCCCTGGGGAGAGCCCCACTGACCCCAGTGGCAGCCCCAATTGGTGGCTTGCCCAGTGAGCTGGCCACTACTTTGGCAGGCCTCAGGGGCCCCCACAGATCACATGGACAAGAAGGGACCCCAGGGGCTTCCATGTGGACAGATCTGTCTCTCCTTTGAGGGTGAACATGCAGTACTGAGAAGGGAGGGCGCAGATGACTGGATCCTGGCCTCAGATGCCTGAGTGTGAGGTGGGCCTGCTGCTGGTCCCTGAGTGGGAGCCGCTGGTCCTCTGCCCAACTCATACACGAGGCCATCAGCCCTGGGCTTCCCTACGGTGGGGCCTGCAGGACTTGGCCCAGGCTGCCCTGGGGAGGGGACAGCTCCCGATGGCAGGGGAAGGGGCCAAGTGATCCCACACCACCAGACAGAGTGCAGACCCAGCTGCTCTGGAAACCATGTGCTTTATTCAGAACCTCATTCCCAGGGGAGCTCCCCCTGGGTTGTAGAAAAGCGCAAACCATGTGGTTTGGTACAAGGCAATGGTTCAGGGACTGCAGGACATCCCTCATGGCTGGGGCCCTCCTCCTTTGGGCCTCAGACTTCCCTGGTCATTGTGACACTTGGCTGAGCTGAGTGAAGGCAGCTGGGACTCCCGGGGTGTCAAGCCTACCCCTGAGGGCATCTCCCTCAGCCAAGGAGTGAGGGAGAGCGTCTCAGACAAGGGCCAGAGTCCTCATCCAAGCCTGGGGCCTGCTTTACCCACAGCCATGACTCCTCACGGCCTCTGGGCCCTGTTGCTCAGGATACCCCTCAGCTGCTGGACTGGGGGCCATGGAGACAGGAGAGCAGGATGCTCCATGGAGGGGGCGTGGCTGGAGCAGGGCCCGCCCCTCAGTACAGGTCCGCAAAGGGCTTGGAGTAGTTGAACATCAGGTAGTCCATGTAGTAGAAGTCATAAGTACGCTGCCGCTGCAGGGTGGAGAGCTGGGCGAAGTACTGGTGGGTGATCCTTGCTGTGGTCCGCGCCTCCTGTGAGTGCCGGTCCTTGAACTGGGGGAAGGTCAGGTTTTGTGGTGCATGGATCAGGCGCAGGAAGAAGTTAGCATCGTCCTCCATGCTTTCAAACTTGCCCACGAAGTCATAGTCGATGAGGCAGGGGCTGCAGAGCCGGCTGACGTGGTCCCAGTGGATGTCCATGCCCACCGGCCGGTGCACGTCCAGCAAGTACTGGACAAACTCAGGGAACCGCACGCCAGAGCCCGTCCTCAGTGCCTCTCTCGAGGCGTTGGCCCGGTACCGGGCCAGGATGGCCTTACCGAAGACAGGGTGGTAGTAGCTATTGGGGTGCTCGAATTTGTCGCGAAAGGCAGAGACAAGCCTCTCGAAGGGCTCACGGACAAAGAGCATCTTGGTGTAGGTGCTGAGGCGGTGGAGGATGCCTTGGTGGTCGAAGGTGTCCAGCCGCTTAAGGGCGCTCCCGTAGTGCACTGTGTTGTGCTGAATGTCGGCGGTGGACGAGGCCAGCCCGGCAAGCACCATCAGCACCCGCTTCCAGTTGGAGCAGCCGGCCTTGGGCACCTCGCAGTAGAGCACGCGGTGGCGGTCCTCCACGAAGATGCGGGACACGTGGTGTGGCGTGATCGCCCTGCGGCTGCTGCTCGCCCGGTACTTGGCACACGCCTCTTGCATCACCCTCTTGCGCTCTTGCTGGTTCTCTTGCAGGATGGCCCAGTGGCCGCTCAGGGTCCAGGGGCCCGGCCACTGCAGGGTGCTGGCTGAGCTGTTGGCTGGGATGGCTGCCACAGCTGGCATTTTTTTGATAAGCAGCCGCCGCCGCCGCTGCTGGAGTCGCAGGCGAGCCCCCATCTTTAGATGGGGTCTTGGCTGGTCATGCACCAGAGGTCCCAGGCTGTCCCACTGAGGGTTGAGGCCCCTGGGGGAGGGATCAGACCAGTCTCGGGTACCCTTCTCTGTGGGCACCTTCAAGTCACCATCCTTGGAACTGCCTGGTGGAAAGTCCTGCGACAAGAAGAGAAATGGTTACTAGGGTGAGCAGGACAGCTGGACACAGGGTCACACAGGCCAGCCCCTTGCCATGGCCAGGGTCCCTGGATCCTCTGTGGCCTGAGCTCCACCCTTGAGGGTGAGGGTGAGGGAGAGGGAGACAGCCTGGGCCTGCGCATGGACCAATCTGCGCTGAGCCCTGGCCTGGCCCTCCCCTGGCGCCCCGCCCCCTCATCACTGGCCAGCTGAACAGCACAGGGCTGTCCTCAGCTGGCCATGGGCTTGCCAGGAGTGTGGGGCCCGAGATGCAAGTGTCCTCTCGGCCACAAGATGGCGCAGGTCTTCCAGGAACCTATGCCTGGTGAGCGTGGGAGCTGGGGCTGGTGGCCTGCTTGGGGGCTGGTTCAAATTCACTGCATCTGCTAGCACAGCCCAGAGCAGCCATCTACCAGGAAGGGGAAATTCACAGGCCCGAAGTCCCGAGCTTTATTCCTAAGGCTCCTCGGATGGGCCGGACACATTTTTCTTTCCAAGAATGAATTCAACCTGAGCTCCAAATTTGCAACCGTGCCCTCCCGAACTCTTCCCCCAAGGCTTCGCTGAGATTTATCAAATTCTCAGAACTCACACTGTGGGGCTGCTGCAGCCTGATGTTGAACTTCATTCCTGAAAAGCAAACATAGGAGTGTTAGCAGTGGAAGAACCACAGGGCTCCCAGGGACCTGCTGGCTCCAAGGGTTCCTATCTGTGGGTGCCCAGCCTGGACGGGGCTTGGGTGGGCTCTGTGAAAAGGCAGCTCTATGGGGTGAACGGAGGCCACAGCTCACGTTAATGCCACGCGGAAAATGGGCTGGAGCAAAGGGACGGTTCTACTGGCTCTGAGCTGATGGTCACCTCAGCATCTCACCTCCTGAAGTGACGTAGGTCTAGAAGGGTGGCTCCTGTCCAGGCATGCCCACCCACTGCCCAGTGGAGTAATCAAGACCTCACAAGAATCCCAACCCCACGCTGTCACAACTTTCCCAAGGCACTGAGTCACAAGGGAAAGGGATCTTCAGAAAGCTGCTATCATCTCTCCATACCACCTCGGCCATGCCCTCCCTGTTCCAGTCCACATGGACTCTGCACCTGTAATGACACATTCACACGCACTCCTTTGCGTGTGCCAGAACATTCCTTCCCCTCTGACTGGGGCTTCGCCCCTTGCTCCAGGACGTTCCCTAACCTGGGCATTAACTTCAGGATTTTGGCCTTCTCAGCCAGCCTTGGGGCTCTGGTGCTGAGCTGGAAAGCACATCCTACTCTCCCTGGTCTCCTCCAAAGGGCTGAGCAGTACTCAGGCATAGAATGATTGTCCAGTAAGCACTTCTTGGCTGACTGGGAAGATGGAGAGAGATCAGCACATCGTGGGCCACGCTACAGAATGCCCCTTTTGCCCACTAAGGAGGCCCTTGCCTGGGTGGGGGCTGGGGCCACCCAGGATGACAAACTCAGGTGAGACAAACCTCTGGCCCAAGGAGAGGATTCTGGTTCGTACCTTGTTTGGTCTATTCTGGGGGAAGTTGTTGGGTGGAGAAGGGGCTTTCCCTTTAGGAGACCCACTTAGGAGTCCGGGCTTCCTCCCCCAGCCCCTCCCTGGCCACTGAGGCGCTAGGGCTCTTCCCTCCCCTGTGCCATGTGGTGGGCTTTTCTCCTCTGAGGTTTTTGCCAAGAGTCACAGTCACAATCAGAACCACTCACCCCTTAAACAAGCAGAGAGCTAGAACTTCAAACTGGTATAACGGGGCACCATGTCCGACCACACCAGACGGGGTGCTGGCTGCTGCCTGCTGCCTGGGGTTGGGGGCCAGGTTCTAGAGCCCCAGCCCTTCCCCTGATATCTCTGGGCACCCAGCAGAGGTCCAGAAGCTCCCACCGGGCACAGGGGACTGAGGCAGGGCTGGCACTCAGCTGGTGACACGACATCCAGATCCCCCATCCGTGGACCTGGAGACTCCACCAACTTCTCTGTGAGGTCCAGGCTCAGCCCTGGTCTCATACTGTGGATGCGGCCACACAGCTCCTTCATTCATTAGGAAGCAAGGAGGGGGGCGTGGGGTGACCCTTGGGCTGGAAAGCCTACATTTTCTGAGTTCATGGACTGGGAGCACGATGCCTTCTTCTGCTGCAATGCCATTTTTTGATCTCTTTGGGCTGGGGACAGTGTTATGTCCTTCCTTGGTCAAAGGGCAGAGTGCCCACACCTCCCTGGGTATTCCCAAGCTTATGTGCATGGGTGTGTTTATCTGTGTGCATATGGGGGAGCTTTGAAACAGGCTTCCAAGACTGTCCCACAGAGGATGAGGGGAAGCTCCAGTAAAGCTGGATGCACCCCTCAGGGTCCCTCTCAACCAAAGAGCTTGTTTTCCTCCTTGTCAGCCAGCCCTTCCTCTTCCTCATGCCATCTTCACTGTACTGAGCTCATTTTTCTCTGGCACGTAGGAGTTTTCTCCTGCAGCCAACGATTACAGATCCCTTCAAGAGAAGGGACCCGCTCTGCAGCTCAGTTTTCCTTTACATTGTTGGGTTACCTTAATTATTTTCTTCTAGTAACGGCAGCTGGCTCTGCTAAATCACCTCTCCTCAGAGTCTCAGATACAGGAATTTACTCTGCTTGTCACTCTTGACAACTTGTCAAGGTGCAATGATGCTTACTGATATCCCTCTTCTGGGTGAATAAGTCATGCTAGATTTGGCAAAAGTGGGACTGAAGAGCCACTTACAGAAGGCACCTAGCCGGTTGGTGAAAATGGAAGAGGATGTGCCTATGGAAGTGGCAGCCCCTAAGGTTGTGGCCTCCTACCAGCACTGTCCCCCAGCCTGGGAGGGTTGTGAGTCGTGAGTCCTGGACAGACTGGACAGGAGAGCATGGTCTCCTGGACCTCTGGGCTCTGAGTCTAAGGTAGTGTTATGGATTGAACTGTGTCCCTCAAAAAGATATGCTGAATCCCTAACCCCTAGTACCTATGAGGAGCCCTGGTGGCACAGTGGTTAAGAGCTAAGGCTGCTAGCCAAAAGGTCAGCAGTTTGAATCCACCAGCTGCTCCTTGGAAACCCTATGGGGCAGTTCTACTCCATCCTATAGGGTCACTATGAGTTGGAATCGACTTGACAGCAACAGATTTGGTTTTTGGTTTTTTAAACTCTTTGCCAAAGAGTGGCTGGTGGATTCGAACTGCTGACCTTTTGGTTAGCAGCCTAAGCTCTTAACCACTGTGCCACCAGCCTGTGAAAGTGATCTTGTTCGGAAATAGTGTCTTTGAAGATGTTATCAGTTAAGTTAGCATGAGATCATACCAGAGTGAGATGGGTCCTAATCCATCTGAGTGTTGTCCTTATGAAAAAGGAAAGCAGACAGAGAAACACACAGGGGGAGACACAGGTTAAGACTCATCTACAAGCCAAGGAAGGCCAAGAAAGTCCAGGGCTACCAGGGCTAGAGTGGACAGAAAACATGGCCCAGCCCATGCCCTGAATCTGAACTTCTCCAGAACTGCAAGACAATAAGTTTCTTATAAGCCATCCAACCTGTATTATGGCAGCCCCAGGAAACTAATATGGGTCATCTCCAAGGTTGGCCCACTCTAAGGCTGGCCGGGCCAGAGCCCTTGGCATGGGCTGGGTGGGGGGGCTGAGTCCCCTGACCTCTTGGCCATGTTTGCCCACAGAGCCAACGTGGCTGCAATCGACCCTTTTGGAAAGAAAATTTGTTCTTCAGGAAAACCAGTAACAGAATTTATGTGGAGCCTGTGAGCTCTCCACAAGCTGTATGTTCCCAGACTTACGGCAACTCTCTGGGCAGGGTGAATTGACCCTGTCCCCACACAGTCACTTTTTAATAAGGACAGACTCTTAATGAAAGAAGCATAACGGGCTCTTCCCCTTGCCAAAGGCCTGGGGTCTACTTCTCCCATGGAGGACGCTGCTCTTCTACACATGGCTCCTATAAAGGCTGAAGCAAATTCCACCCCGAGGAGCCTTGCACGTTTTGAGACGGAGGTCTGCACACTCCCCAGTGGGCTGTACTTCAGGACCCTGGAAAGCTCCGTGCAGAGGCCAGGGAAGGGCAGCTAAGGGACATATTGCCATCAGAAGTCATCTGTGCCAGTACCCTAGCGATCTCAAGGGGGCCTTTGGCCTCAATATGACCACCACAAGCCCCTCTCAAGCCCCCAAATGAAGGTACAATCTAGGTAAGTCCCAGCCTCCCCTTCCACCCAGTGGTACCAATGGTGCCATGCAACCCCACCCCAACCCCTGCCCACGAACACGGCCCGCCAGTACATGCTCCATTTCAGATTAGAAGTTGCCTGCCCTCCTGGGGACCATGGTCTCGGGGGACATCTAGTTCAACTGGCATAACATAGTTTATAAAGAAAATGTTCTACATCCTACTTTGGTGAGTAGCATCTGGGGTCTTAAAAGCTTGAGAGTGGCCATCTAAGATACTCCACTGTTCTCACCCCCCGCCTCGAGCAAGGGAGAATGAAGAAAACCAAAGACACAAGGGAAAGATTAGTCCGAAGGACTGATGGACCACAACTACCACGGCCTCCACCAGACTGAGTTCAGCAGAACTAGATGGTGCCCGGCTACCACCACAGACTGCTCTGATCAGGATCGCAATAGAGGGTCCTCAGCAGAGCCGGAGAAAAATGTAGAACAAAATTTCAAATTTGTAAAAAAGACCAGACTTACTGGTATGACAGAGACTGGAGAAACCCTGAGAGTATGGCCCCCAGACACCCTTTTAATTAGTACTGAAGTCACTCCTGAGGTTCACCCTTCAAAGATTAGACAAGCCCATAAAACAAAATGAGACTAAATGGGCACGCCAGCCCAGGGGCAAGGATGAGAAGGCAGGAGGGGACAGGAAAGCTGGTAAGGGGGAACCCAAGATCAAGGAGAGAGTGTTGACATGTTATGGGGTTGGCAACCAAAGTCACAAAACAATATGTGTATTGTTTAATGAGAAACTAATGTGCTCTGTAGACCTTCATCTAAAGCACAATAATAATAATAGAAGGTACCTGCCCTCTCCTCTCAATATAATGCTAAAAATCTGTAAGGAAGCTCCCCTCCCCCACCCCCACCGTGAAGCAGTAAACCACCACTTTCTCTTTCTGGACAGATGACATTTGTAGAGCAGCTGAAACATGTGCCATGAGGTAAGAGTGAGCGTCGCTGAGAGTAAACAGGGTGTGAGTTATTGCAGCTGCCAAATACGTTCCGCCCGGCGAACTCTTCATTGGCTGAAGTGTTTCTTCCGGGTGTTTGACTCAAGAGCATCCTGGCTACCCACCGAGGGGAGGCACAGGCTGAGGGGGCTTTGTGAGGCCAGTTTCTCAATAACAAAGTTGGCTCTGGGGCAGAGCAGGGGAGAAGACTTCACCGGCCTGTGGGCTGTCAAGGAGAAGGGTCCCTTATCCCCTCCTCTCCAGAGTCACATGAGGGCCATCTGCTGGGTACTACATAAAGGCTCCAATCCCCGATGCCCAGGACCCAATGGGAGGGGTCGGGGGACCAGCCTTTTGGTCAGGTCATGTAGATGGGTGATGCCAACACGGGTCAAAAGGGGGGTCAAGAGCCTAGGAGGGGCGGGAAGTGCCTCAGGAGCCCTGATGTCC